TGCTGCCCCTCCTCTTTACTTTGCCAAGAATCAAAAACTCTATCACATCATGGTTGCTAAGCCCAAGATGGCCTCCAACCACAACATTTCCCATGCATTCTTCTTTGTTTGTAAACAGCAGGTCAAGCGAGGCACCTCCCCTGGCAGGCTCACTTACCAGTTGTGTCAGAAAGTTATCTTCCACACACTCCAGGAACCTCCTAGACTGTTTCCTCTCTGCTGTGTTGTATTTCCAGCAGACGTCCAGCAAGTTGAAGTCCCCCATGAGAACAAGGGCTAGCGTCTGCCAGCCGCTTATAGAATGCTTCATCTGTCTCCACATCCTGGTTGGGTGGTCTATAGCAGACTCCCAGCAGGACACCTGCCTTGTTGGCCTTCCCCCTCGTCCTTACCCATAAGCACTCAACCTTATCATCACCACTGTCAAGCTCTACAAAGTCAAAACACTCCCTAACATACAGAGCCACCCCACCGCCTCTCCTTCCTTGCCTATCCCTTCTGAAAAGCTTATAGCCATCCAGTGCAGCATTCCAGTCATGAGAGTCATCCCACCATGTTTCTGTGATGGCAACTATGTCATAGCTATCCTGCTGCACAAGGGCTTCCACCTCCTCATGTTTGTTGCCCATGCTACATGCATTGGTGTAGATGCACTTGAGGCGGGCTATCGATTTCACCCCCAACATTGCCATGCCACCCCTGGGCTCCTCTCTAGCGAGCCTGGTTATATCCCCTTCCCCCTTCAAAGCTAGTTTAAAGCCCTCTCAGTGAGTCCCGCCAACTCATGAGCGAGGATCCTTTTCCCCTTTGGAGACAGCTGATCTCCATCTGCTGCCAGCAGGCCTGGTGCCATGTAAACCTCCCCATGATCAAAAAAACCAAAATTCCACTGACAACACCAGCCTCTGAGCCACTTGTTAATCAGGTGAGTTTTCCAGTTCCATTTAGCATAAATACAAATACAGCTTCAGAATAGCCCTTTACCTGAGCCATTGCTGAAATAAAGATGAACTTTAAGACAATAACTCCTACATAAATTAGTGAGGTTCCTAGTGGATGGATGCCAAAAAGTCATTGCTGCTCACAGCAGTGGCAAAAGCACACATAAGCAACCAAATGCATAAACTGAAGACCCTTCCTACTGCCCTATGAACCCTAGCCAATGATGTCCTGGGTGGGGACTGCATTTCTTTTTGCCACAGATGAGCAGTGTTAACATAAAACTGACACCAGCAGAGAAGACAGGTGGCAGCAGAAAACCTGACAGGAACCAAACCACCTGATCTTCTGATTTCAGGGACCAATGAGCACAGCGCAGTATTTCACAAGATCAGCATCTTAACAACCTTCTGAGAGGCATGAGTTCAATATTCCTTTTCTTCGTCATGTCACAATATGTATTTACCACACACAGACACATTTCAAAAAAAAAAATTAGTAGTTTAGCAAGACCCTCTAGAACTTCCTTCATGCTTTACCAGATTTGACCAGGTGGGCCTACAAGCACCAACAAGTCTCACACTAGGCTTGTCCTTACCAATGCAGGAAATCAACTATATCATTACACTTTTTCCTTCCCAGAGCTTAAAAAGGACTCTCCCAAAGCAACAGCCACATAAGGCAGGAGTGAAACAGGGACTGAAAGCCCTGGGAACACCAGAGGTCTTATGCATTTCTCAAGCTGACAGAGTCTGGACAGTAGCTGTTCGCTACCACCTTTCAAGGTTTTCAATCAGAATCAGCATCCCTCAACCCTTGCCATCTTCAAGGAGCTGTTAACTACTTCCACTAAGACAGAAGAGCTCAGGACATTCATCAGCCCCCATAACTATGTAGTAACAAGAACAAATTGCAGTGGCATCCTTCCTTGTGAAATCCTACCTCTTACATTTTATCAGTGAAAACCCTTTTCCATCTCCAAGATGAGGAGAAAAGCTTTAAGGCCAGCCAATACACCTCAAGGCAATTCCACCCCTGTCAGATCTTGTTGCTTCAGCAAATATTACAAGTTGGTGACCACTGGCTACAATTATCACCAAGGACTAAGCTCCTTCCCTGTGCCTTAAAGGGTACAGCATTTCTCTTTCTAGATCTTCAAAGGAGAGCAATGCTACACTCACCCAGGAGCTGCAGCAGCAGGACATATTCTATAATAGAAGCCAGCAATGAATTCTGCTGGAAGCGGGAAACTCAGCAGCAGTATGAACTGCATGAGAATATGCTCACGTACAGAGCATTCTACTGAATTAAAAAACAGGGCATTGATTTTGTTATTCATTTTTGTATTTAACTCAATATTAGTCTCTGCATATGAATGCCTCTTTCCCACCATCACTTTTTCATGCCTCAGCAGAATTTCTAGCCAGCAGCAGAAACAGAGATGTAGGTCCTAAGAACAAATTGATCAGTCTGCTACAAAGACAAACTGTATGTGAGGAGAAGGCTCTCAGTCTCAGGTTGTCAGTCAAAGCCTCTGGTCTCATTTATCAGTGAGTACCTCCCTTAGTCTGCACATGATGTGAATGGAGAAGCCAGCAACACTTACGCAAGGCATGCCACTCATCCTGGCGGATTGTCTTGGTGATGTTGTAGGTGAGGTTCTTGGGAATGGTCGCTGAGGAGTAGTGGTACTTGATGTATGTGCACCGCTCAATTGCTCCTGGGAAGGACAAAACACAGAAAAGAAAGTGCTGTTAAATGAATGCAACATGTCCTACCAGCTGTAGACCAAAACGGTTTGTTGGGCTTGACAACAAAAAGCAAAGGCTAGGAGCAAAGCAATCCCTACAATCAGTCCACTGTGACAACCAGTGCTATCTTTGGCCCATGACAGACAAGCTACTTGTAGGGTATGGTCACGTCCAAACTTATGATACACCAAAGGCCCTGCAGTAGCTGCCAGAGTGTCTGCTTTCACCATCAGATATATATGTGGCAAATCACCCCTTCCTTCATTTCTTTTCTCTGAACCATGAGCTAGCAGCAGGCATACCAGCGTTTACTGTGCAGAAACTGTAAATTCACATCTTAGCTTATCGTGCAGTAACGTGTCTCAATGACAATACTCCAGGAGATACACAAAGCAAACATCTTTGATCTTTCCTTCAGTAATAAAAAACACCACAGGAAAAATAATATATAGAGATAGTGAACAATTTTCCTGACCCCCTTCCACCCCACAGCCAAGAAGCAAGAGAAGCAGAAGGATATGTGACAGGCTATGGCATGTCTCTTGAAGGTCCACAGACACTTGCATAGCGGGCTCAGAAACAGAATTTATTGCCACCCCTGAATAACAACCCTCAGAAGGCAACACAAATGGCTGAAATGGACAGTTTTCCCCCCTGTAATCAGGATTTCATCTACGCTCCATGGAAAAAAACACCACGTGCTGCTTCTGTTTGTCTTCTGGTTACATTATTACATTCCCCTTTTACAGCCACTTTCCTTCCTCTACCATAATCACACCTCCAGGCCCTGATCTCCCGGCACCTCTCTGCGTAGTTAGCGTCCTCAGAGGAATGGGTCTGGCATAGCCTGCTGCTTTCCATGAACTATAGCCTAGCCAAGTTTTGCATCTGATCAGAAACCTGTGATAACACAACCATTCTTGCATTGATGAAACCTAGTAAGGTTACCTACATCTGTTTTGCCAGCATCCTCAACTAACACTGGTTTTATTAGACCTTCTCACTAAGCAGTCAGATTCAAAGCTCAAGAAAGTAATTTTTCCATTAATATTATGGTATTTTGGATCAGGCCCTTAATAACTAAATAGGCATCCTTAATGTGGTTGGTCACAGTGTTTGCTACTAGCTACCACTGGTCAGAGAGGCAGCTATGTTGGAAATGCTTTTCTGTATTAAAAATATATTAAGACAGGCACTCAATAGAATAAATTAAATGAAGCAATGAATTATATAAATAAGAGTGCTAGACACCAAGAGGCAGGTAAAGAACACTTACTGTCAGCCTGAACTGAAAAGGCAGAGCCATTAGCCTTATACCAACAGCTCCAAGGGGTTAAATATGCTTTTATACCACTAGAAATACAGGTTTCTACCTCAGGTAATAAAATATTATTTGGGATGAACTTAGATCACACACCATAAATTCACAGCATGAATAATAAAACCCATGAAACAAAATTATTAGTTACATCACAGTCTACTAGCATCTTCCAAAGTTAGTGCAATACAAACATTTGAGGTCCTCATTGTTTGCTCCTCTTAAGCATTCTTCACATTCTGCCTTTGACAGCAATTAGATTAGACAAAGCCAAATATTATAGGGGAAAAAGGCAAAATATTTACATATGTATCCGCCTGCCCTGACAGCGTGATGGGCTTCTGTGTGAGTCTGCACCATCTGGGCACCAAATGTACGCCCAGAATTAAAGTTTCAAACCAAGAACAGTATTTAAAAAAAGACAGCTAGTGTGCAAAGAGCTTTAAAAAAGCCCCAAATCACAACCTTGCCTTCTTATAGGTTTTCCTATCCCTTTTTGTTCAGCTGCTTTCATGGATCAGAGGCATTGGCAAGAAAATGGAAAATGCTTATTTGCCAGAAAATAATCTTTAAGTTATCAGATACCTGCCCAGAGAAGAGATTTATATAGAATAGCAGATGAGGACACTGAGCCAAGATTCAAAATAAAAGCACACAGAAGGAAGGAAGAAAAAAAATAGTGTTCCATTTGCTATAATTTCCTAAAGTAATTTAAAGCACTGCCTCTTACACCAAAGCGGCTAATTTCTAGCAAGGTCCATCAAACTTTTTATTCTTACTGCAAATACTGTTAGTAGTAATGCAGCAAGCTGTTCACTATCTTCTATCTATCACCAAAGCCTAAAGCAGAACAAGAGATTATGGTCTGAATTCAGGTCATCACTTCACCATATATATAATTTTGGGCTTATGCTTACACATCCCCGTGGCTTTAATGAGACTTACATACATGTTTAAAGACTGCCTAGAACTAAGAGTACAACTGCAGTGGCAATGGTTCAATGGTAGCTGAAGTACAAGCAGAATGGTAAATTCCATGATGATCTCCTTTCCAGCCACACAACATATTTCAACATTGTTCCCACCTCTAAATAACATGCTATTAGCCAATAAACATAATGACTCCAAACAAGAGTCTGTAGGGACCAGAAGGTAAAGTGCTCTTCAGTGTACACAGTGAGACAAGTTCTCCTTTTTTCCCTACCTGTCTCTGAAATATCAGGGCAGGCCACTGCGTGCACTCAACAGGGCTGAGCAGAGTACAAAGAATTCACTTGTACCTGGGAATTGTCCCCGTTACTTGCCTTACATGGGGAAACAGACCCCCAGGTCAGGCAGGCAAGGATGCTGCTCCTGGATTTTTACCCTTCTCTGAAGCATTAAGCATAGGTTCACTGCTAGAATGGGTAAGCCTAATTAATTTTGTTACAGGGCTCAAAATACTTCAGTCTAATCCAAGTTACTAGGCTCAATAAGGGGATAAATGGGTGAAATGCAATGGTCTATGATATACCAGAGGTGAGCCTGCAAGAGCTAATGGGCCCTTTTGGCTTTAGACTGTTAAACTCTCCTGTGAACGCTGAGTATAATATGCTCAGGAGAGTGTAGTTCAGAGTGTTTCAGAGCTGTCTTCTCCTAGCTCCCAGGACTTCAATTACTTCAGACTCTAGAACAGCAGCAACTGCTGGAGAGATCATGCAGCCATCTCCATCCACATGGCTACTGCTGATAGGAGAAGCAGGTGGGATCTTACTGGGAACCTCGAGCTTTTCATGGCCTGAACTGATAAGGTTTGTGATTGCTTGGCATGTAAACAGGAGCCATTTATCTAAGCCTGCTCTCACAGGTGTAGAAGAGTGACCCTGACAAGTTAATGCAACTGCATCAGCATATATCTAGCTAGAGGTGAGAATTACCTTTTGAAACTTAGAAAAAGGCTTTCATTTGCCTGGACCTGCCAATAAAAATTAGGAAAAGGATGAGTCTATAGTAGTGAGAATTTTACACTTCAGGATGTTTCCCTACTTGTCCCACACAGAAAAGAACTAGATTTGAGACCCTCAAACATCCAGTTCCTGGAGGTCCCTGGGACAGCAAAGGCAGTGACTGCAGCAAGGATCAGAACTATGGCTCTCCTGGAAAGTCCTCTCAAAAAAATCCTAAGAAATCCTTACCTTCAGATGAATGAATAGCTATGCTCACTCTAGTCTTTGGGATGGGAAGAGAAGCAAGAGTAAGGGGGGGAAAAACACCCACAAACTCACTTTCCTTTCCATATCCTCAGTAGGATAACTGCAATTTATGGAGCATCTCCAGCCTTCAGCACTACTTAGAAAGACCAAATGCAACTGCAGCTGAGCTCTGCACTTTGCTCAAATAACTGGCAACAGTATTTATAAAGCAAACCGGTGAGTGGGTTTTTTCTTCTATGCAGCTGCCATAGCAAGTGTTACAGCTGTCCACAAGACACATGACGCAACCACAAAGCTGCTCCACTGACAGATGCAGGATATTCTATGTTCTTCTGATCAAAGGGAAACATTTGCTGAAAATCCTAAAGAAAAGCGGCTGACATCTTCAAATAGAGTGGTAGGAAAGCAATCAGCAGGATGATGCAACTAGAACCGTGCAGAGCAAAACTGCCATACCATCCTCACATAAGCACAGATGTTCAGAGGGGATTCAGCAGCTGTAACTCTGTAGTTGGCAACCCTCTGTTTCAGCAAAGTTCAGATGCCAAGTAAAACTGAGATAAGGAAACTAGAGATAGCTTCATCCAGAGCAGTTAAGTATTCACAGCATCAAACATGCCACTCTTCTTACTGATCCACTTACTTGCTCAGTTCCCTTCCCATATCCATTGAGCATTGCTCCACACTACCACCTTATTATTGTAAAATATTTCCTCTTCTCTCCATTACAAGGAAAATCCTTAAACTGTGCTATAGCAGGAATATCACCTGAAAACATTGTGTGATTCTTTTCTATTCCATTTTCAAAACTATCCCAATATCCTGATGTTAGTTCAGCTGCTAGTGACACACAGCTCCCACTGCATTACTAGGGCTGTAAACACTACCCTGGTAGAGGCCCCAAACTGTCTGGTAATGCAGGGGGTGACTGAACCATTCTCCCACTCTAAGCTGAACAGGGTTGAGATCAATTAAAAGGAAGGACATACTGCTAGTACCCATACTGTATTTGTCTGGTGGGTAAACAGACAACTTTTTTCAGAACTTTTGGACCAGTGTTTTCACCACCAAGCCCCTCCTCCCCCTTTAAATATAATAACATTTCAACACTTTCAAACTGTTCCAAGAAACAGTCTTTACCCATGGTTAATTTAAGAAATAGAATGAAAATTCAAAATGCCACCAGGGTATTGGTCACATCAGTCCTAAAATTTGGATCTCAGAAGTGCCCAGAGGCATTTGCCCTGTGAGGTCAGCTTGACTTTTGCAAAAGTGGTTGTCAAGTTTCAGGAATTTACACTGTCACTGTGATCATATAGCTTAGTAGTCTGACTAAGCCACCTCATCTGATGGGTGGCAACAGATAGTCCTTCAGATGGTCTTTCATGAAACTGGCAATCTGTGAGAATAATTAGGTAAGTGTCAGTAATGTCACTTCTTATCTGGCCCAAGATGGCAC